AGAAAAACAAAACAACGCAGCAGGCACCACACTCCGAAGCCTGTCTCGTTTGTCTGCATGGGTCATGCGTGCATGCTGGGCCAGGAAACGAGTTTGGAGGCGATTTGAGGGAAAGCGTGTGCTTCCTCAGCTGATGGTGCGCGAGGGTGATGTGGTTCCGGCTCATAATAAAACAGAAACAAAACAAAAACAAAATGAAAAATCTTTGGAACTGGCGTGGCCTGCGCTTTAGCAGAGCTCCGAGTATTTGACTGCTGGCTTATTGATATAAGATCCAGCTGTGGGCTAGTGAGCAGCAGGCGTGTGCTGCCTTGCATTTGAAGCCTGTAGTAAGTTAGAGGCAAGAAGGAGTAAACAAATCAAGGCTGTGAAAGGCGACCTGGTATAGTTTTCTGATTGTCACTTGCTCATAACATTGGTTCCTGTTTGTCTACATTCTACTTTATAACTAATATCTACAGTTGGGAATCCTGCAAATATTGGTTATAACAGAACTTAGGGTGAAACTTACTGGCATTGAAAAACTTTTTCCTGTTTGTTTTACTCCGAGGGTACACTCCTATTGCTTTGGGGGATACGGTCCAGGAGAATATTGGACCGTAAGGAAGGAGTGAAATAAGCCTCGTCTGACATGGTCAGGCATTTATACATTCCAAACTTTTGATTGTATTCAGAATAAGTTACCTGGTGATGGAGAATTCTAAATGAAATTGACTTTGAGGACAGTTTGATGATTTATTTCAGATACCTGAATTGCTGGTTTTGCTTAAGGTCATTCACAGAAAAACAGTGAAAACTTGGGTTAACATTTTGGTTTCCGAAATACCTATGTGTGTGGGGGGGGGCGGGGGCGGGGGCGGCGAGGTGGTGGTGGGGTGTGGGGTTGGGTAGGGATTGATAGAGATCTCCAGATTGTGTTTGAGACGTTTTTGTTATCAGACCAGTGGAAATGGTCACTTCTAGCTTCGTGACTTTTGACCTCTCATTTCAATAAGTAATTTCTTCTGTTTGACCTGTGGAAAATCCACTTGGAAAATATTAGTTGAGTAAACTAAAGTAAGTGCATGAATTCAGAACTTCGTTCTTTTTCTGTTACAGATGAACCTCTAGGCTTGCTTTGAAAAAGGCCACTTTGTGTAACTTGACTGAATAACTTCCTCACACACCTGTTGGGAGGATTACTGACAGAGTATGCCATTGGAGAGGGATTTCTGGTGACCAGATACTGGTGATTAGCGAAGAGAGGTGTTTTTGTGTTTGTGTTTTGTTTCCTGAGCATTATGAACATTGACTTTTCACCCTTGAAGTAAAAATGCTGAAAGCTGAGTCTTCAGGTGAACGGAGCACTCTCAGAAGTGCCTCTCCCCACAGGAATGCATATAGAACTGAGTTCCAGGCACTGAAAAGTACTTTTGACAAGCCCAAGTCAGATGGGGAACAAAAAGCGAAAGAAGGTGAGGGCTCCCAGCAAAGCAGGGGCAGGAAGTATGGCTCCAATGTCAACAGAATTAAAAATCTGTTTATGCAGATGGGTATGGAACCCAGTGAGAATGCTGCAGTCGTTGCCAAAACGAGGGGGAAAGGTGGGTCTTCATCCCCTCAGAGAAGGATGAAGCCTAAAGAATTTTTGGAAAAGACAGATGGCTCTGTTGTTAAGTTGGAGTCATCTGTGTCTGAAAGAATCAGTCGGTTTGACACAATGCATGATGGCCCCTCATACTCCAAGTTCACAGAAACAAGAAAAATGTTTGAGAGAAGTGTGCATGAGTCAGGACCAAACCATCGCTATTCCCCAAAGAAAGAGAAGAGCGGAGGGAGCGAACCACAGGATGAGTGGGGCGGGTCCAAATCCAATCGAGGCAGTACAGATTCCTTGGACAGCCTTAGCTCTCGCACTGATGCTGTCTCCCCAACTGTGAGTCAACTGAGTGCAGTGTTTGAGAACACCGAGTCCCCCAGTGCCATCGTTTCGGAGAAGGCAGAAAGCAGTGAGTACTCAGTGACTGGGCATTATCCCTTGAATTTGCCATCTGTCACTGTTACAAATCTTGATACCTTTTGCCACCTTAAGGATTCTGATTCTTGGTCTCCTTCGGACAAACAAGAAGTTGATGCTGAGGAGGCTGAGAAGAGCAATACAACTCCAGGCGCAGAAGTGCCGCCTCAGAGTACCTCCCTAGCATCGCTGCCTAGTGAAGAGACACAGCAGAGCAAGGAAGCTGAGGAGGACTCCACGTCTAACCGAGACACTCCGAGCAGAATTGACAGAGACGTTCCCGAAGAGTCTTGTGCTGAGAGTAAGGCAATGCCAAGGTCTACAATCCTTTCACCACAAAGTGAACCTTCAGGAGTTGCTGGAGCTAATTTTGTTGGGAGTGAGGCAGCAAAGCAGCAGAGGAGAGAAATGGCAACTGGTGGTCTCACCTCACCTGATGCTTCTACGTCCAGCTATGGAAGAGAAGAACCTGAAGACTTCGGTACTTTTGAGAGCTCCCATGTGTACATGCATAGTGACTATAATGTGTATAGGGTAAGGTCCAGGTATAATTCAGACTGGGGAGAGACAGGCACTGAGCATGACGAGGAGGAAGACAGTGACGAGAACAACTACTATCAGCCCGACATGGAATATTCAGAAATTGTCGGGTTGCCAGAAGAAGATGAAATCCCGGCAAACAGGAAAATTAAGTTTAGTAGTGCTCCGATTAAGGTAAGTATGCTTTCTTAAATTGTCCTCTCTGTTTTAGTTTTGGGCCTAACTGTATGTGGAGCAGGTTGGAAACATCTAGAAATTTGTGTCAGGAATTTGAGACTGCTGATGTGTATCCATTGTCAGGTGAGACTTTACAAGTTTGGAGCTTGAGAGATATCAGTCACATTTCCTGATGTGCTTTAATAATGATATAAACTAGTAGTGAGTATTGGGAAAGTTGAGGAAGTTTGGTGATTGTGAAATGCATTCCATTGGGCTGGAGTATGAGAAAAATGAGCCCTGGGTGTTTGTTTGCAATAAAGCCATAACAAATGTTACTTAACATTACCTGAGCAAACTTTCTGAATCTATAAACTATAAGATCTGAGGTTTAAGGTACATCAGGAAGATTACGGTAACTTTGAAATAATCGTCTTCAGTTATTTGCTTAAAAGTCTGAGTTTTTGCCTACTTAAGTGTAAGTGGATTGTGAGGAATGTTGTTGGAACTTGTTTTCTTGATTGCTACTTCGTGAAAATTTGATTTATGGAAATATATTAGCTGACTTAAATACTGTGATTGAAAAGCTCCGACTGTAAACAGCTTTGAATTCAGAAATTTGTTATGTAGCTTTAAGATGAGATTTTGTGAAAGGAAGTAAAATTGATTTGCCATTCATGAATTTATTTTACCTCTTAGAAACTGGATAAATGCCAGTTGAATTCAGATGCTCTATTCTAATGGCTTCACTTAGCTAACATTTGGTGTAGAAGAATTGCACAAAGTGCGCCAGCAGCGGGTGGTGGAAAATTATTAAGCATAATGGCAGTAGGGGCAGGAGGTGCTTGGTTGAGTAGCAGTGTCCCATGGGGTGCTTTTTCAGAGTGTACTGGTCCACTAGCTCAGTCCTCAGATTCTGGCATACTCCCCTTGGGGAAGCAGAGGACTGTGGTGGCAACTGCGTGCTTTGACACTGCATTCTAGGGACTTCTAGCTTGTATAAAGTGTGTGTATGATAGATTAGGGAATTGGTATTATGTCTCCTCAAACTCTAGAGTCCATTGCTATTTCTGTCATCCACATAAAGCTGTAAGACAGGTAATTTCCATGGAAATAGCCCCAGAGAAGTCTGACGTTTTTAATTATGAAATTTTATTCTAAGACGAAATAATCTGAAATTATTTACAGTGTATTCATGGGCAGATTTTCATTTTATTACTGTAAGGTAGAAGTTCTGGATCAGAATGGACCGTGTCAAAATTAAACTGGGATTAAACCAGCTATGCGAGTCTGGTTTGAAAGTCAGCTAAGTTTTCTTTTAGTCTCTCTCACTGTCCTGGGATTCTCTCTGCTTTGCTGTCCCGTGTTTCCACTTCTGGGAGTCCTCCAAGGTGCCCTTTCCTCAGACCTGCCTAATGAGCTGCCAGCCTTACTGTTCATGCCCCCTTTGAACATGGTCTTTCTGTCCCTTAGGAAAAAAGCAGTATGATTAAATTGTTTCACCTTGAGCGAAGCACGAATAACTGAAATGAACTCTTCAGAGGAGTTTGTTAATCCTGGTGACTGACTTTTTAATAGGGGGACAGCAGCTTATAAAAGTTTATCAAGTAGAACATTAGCTGCTCAACCCAACGGGAGACTGGCTGCATTCAGGTCCTGGGCCGCCCGGAACATAACTGGATGGTAATAGGTTTGATGGATTTTAAGGGATTTTTCAGTGAAATACATCTGTTTGTTTGTGAGCAGACCATACTTTTTGGATATGAGGTTTGAAATTCTGGTGATTTTTAAAAATTATTCTTGTAACAGTAAACATTTTGTCTCTTACAAATAAATAAGCTGAGTTTCATATTGCAAAGAATGAAAATAAAGTATGTGTGTTTAAATTGAGCACATTTCTTAAGCTTACATCAAGCGGATGATTTGTGAAACACGCATACTGTGATGTATTTTATTGGACAGTTAGCAGGACTGGTTGGAGTGGATTAAGTTTGCAAACAGAATGGTCATTATTAGCCCTTTTGTGAAGAATGGGACAATTACTCTTTCTTCTTGCGTTCACTGTTTAATACACAATTGGATTGATTCACTTTGGAAAATTCGAGAGCTGCTTTCTACTGGTCCTGGTGCCGTTTTGGGTATTTTCAGTTAAGTTTTTTTTTCCTTTTTCTTTTCCTCCCTGTAGAAGGTGGTGGAGCCTTAATTCAACAAATATTTAGGGATCCTTAAGTGTTCTTTGATGCTGCTAGCTAAAGAAGACACAAAAATCTACAAAGTTACTTTTTGCTCTGTGACGTTGTAATTCTTAAAAACACTGAATTTAAAACTCATACAATACAGCATATAAAACTGAACCAAAATAGTTACTATCCTAAGAGTCCTCTAATAGTATTTGGCTGTACTACATGCATAGAATGAAAGTTATTTGATGTATTATTTGGATCTGAGTCTATTCATACATTCCCTATGTGTGTCACTTTTTTCTTTTTATAAAGCTTAACTTATGGAATAGGAGGTTAGGATTTCCAGCTTCTTTGAGAAACAATTTTTAAAGAAATGAATTTTGAAACTTTCATACTTGTTTTTTGGTAATTTTATTCTTTCTTAGGTGAAATGTTCTTTATATCTTTTAGTGTTTCATTATAGATCTTGTTCATGATATTTGTGTGTGTAATATTGTCCTCAGTATCTATTTCAGTACTCTGGTGGACGTTTTAAATATGTTACTCTAAGATGTCTTATGTTTGGATCGAGAAAAACAGCAAAATAGTGTACACCTTTTACTTGTTAGTGACTTAGAAATGGTCAGATTTTATTGCCGCCCACCAGTGTGACTTTCCTGTCTTTCATGGACAGAGTTGTTTATTATTGGATAGGTTGATATGGTTCACAGAGCCACAGGCTATTAGAATGGGATTGATTGTAGCAAGTATAAAATCTACCCTTGCACTATGGGACGGGAGAATGTTACAGGCAATGTTAATCTGAGATGTGCAGTTACATTTTTCATGCTTAGGCATTTCTCAAGATGAAGGGGATGAGTTGAAGTAAATGTGTCTTTGCTAAATCGAGGGTAGGAAGCATGACCTTTGTCCTTATCTTGCTATTTGGAACATGCCCCGAGCCCTGGCATGTATGAGGAAAACTGTAAAGCTCATGTATGTTGCCAGTGCCCTTCCCAGGACCAGGCTGAGCTGGGGTATGTGGGGTGTGTGGCCCCACGGTCCCAAGGCTGCTGGAGCCCTTCTGGTCAACTTTGCTCATGGGTGATCTTTCTGACATCACTGCAACCTCATTAAGCAAGTCAGACCCCTTTCTGTGTCACTAGTAGCCTTATATCCTTTGAATTGATATTCTTTAAAGAGCATGATTAAAAAAAGATTTTCATAGCTCCCAGCAAATAGGAGATTGCAGAATTAATATTGCAGTGCTGTGTGCTCTACTTTGATTGTTTGTCAAACTGTATGGAGCCTTTATGTTTTCTTGTTTTGAGGAGAAAACCCAGGGGCATTCTACCCTTGAGCTGTATCGCTAGTCTTTTTTAATTCCTTATTTGGTGACGGCTCATTAAATTTCCCAAACTGGTGTTGAGCTGGTACTCCTGCTCAGTCTTGGGAGTAGCTGTTTGCCACCATGCTGGACTGGGAGCTTACAGAGTGGTTCAGAGGAGAATCCCCAAGGGCAGTAATGCTACTTTGAACCTCCTGTGACAGTTGTTGGGGATGGATCTCGCTGTATTCTCTCCCTCTTTGGGGGGCCCTGAGGCACAGTCTGGGTTACCTGAAGGCTGCCTTGTTCAGGATGATGTGCGGAGTCTGGTTCTTCTGAGATCTAACCTTTTGTCTTGTGTGGAGGCTTCTCTTTCTAACAATTTTATCAGCATGTGTTAACTGTAATATGCATATGAATCACTTTGGGATTCTTGTTAAAATGCAGATTTTGTTTCAGTAGGTGTTCTGTGGGAAAGTACCTCAATACAGTGGTTATCCCCCAAAGACAGTGTTAGGCAAGCTATCTCAGAGGATGGAGGCATTCGGCAATCCAATTAAAATGCCTGCATATCGAGCTGTGCTGAATCTTATTATGTATTAAATCCATGCAAAGTACAAATCCAGGAGCAAGAGGAAAGACATAACAGTAAGTTAACACACTCACGTGCGAAGCAAATTGGAAGAACCAACTCCCTGCCTCTCGGCGCACCATGCTCAACTGATCCATCTCTCTTTTATACCAGCGTGTCACTGGTGGTGTGGTGATGGGGACCAGAGAGTGAAATTTGGGCGAAACCCACAGACTGATGGTCCTGTGTCAGTGGAACACACTTGCTGTGTTGAGAAGACGTGGGGCATGTGCGTCTAGTACAGCTGTGCCTTTGCCAACTCGGCTGCTCCTGAACTTTGGGCTCTATTTTCTTTCGTAGGTGTAGCGCCGTGTTTCCAGAGCAGGGCCATCTGAGTGTCCTCAGTAGCTGGGTGTGCAGGCACAAGTGGATGGATTTGGTGTAATGATGACTTGGTCTCCATCCGTTTTTATTAGTAAACCTGTTTTGTTCCATTACATTTTCTGTTTATTCTTTTTTTTTTTTATAACGTCATAGGATAGGTTATTGTCTTGTGCATTTTTAGCATATTTTCTGAATTCTGCCTTCATATCAGCGGCTCGCCTGCCTGGGCATTGTTTCTCTCATGGACTGTCAACTTGCTTACACTTCCTGGTGGTCACTTCCTGTGTGTCTCCTCTTTCTTCCTGTGCATCTTGCTTCTTTCCGCTCCCTTCTTTCCCCTTATCTTTCTCTCCCTCCTTCTCTTCCCTCCCCCCCTCCTTTCGTGCTAGGGATCAAACCCAGGGCCTTGCACATGCTTGGCAGGGGCTTTATTCCTGAGTCACATCCCCTTGAAATTTCCTCCTTTATCATGTGATAAATATGTTGTCATTATTCTAAACTTCCTCACAAATACTAATTGTTGGGTTTATGGACTTTAAGATACCACATTTTGGGAAAAATACAGGTTTACGCA